TCTTAGGGTCTTTCCCATTACAAATGCATCTGACTGCAAGTTCTGCAAGAAGGTCCTTACTGAAGATCCTAGGCTGTCTCAAGAGAACCATCTTTTTGGCATGTAGGAAACGGCCTTTTTAGGTAATGCTCCTCAGCAATGGATACATCCAGTCCACACTCTTGGCATTCAGAAGGGTTCATCCACTTTATCAAATTTTCAGTTTTAACTGAAACTAATTTTTGGCATTCATTTTAGTTCATTTTTTAAAATGATGTTAGATGTCTTGAGCACTTGCCAGAATCGTGGGTGTTTATGAAATGAACGAAGGCAGACAAAAGTAATTGATGTTTATTTTGCTCTTTTGGGCTGGTACTAAAGCTAGACAATTGCATCAATTCAAAATGTTGCATACACAGTTCCCACAGGAGAGTACAGTGAGTTCTCTTGAAAAATATACACGAAGACCTGAAGCAGTGATGTCAGGAAAAATACACTGCTAAGTAGTGGAAATTTAAGTCACCTGTCAGCAGAAAATATTGGTCAGTGAATTTGCCAATCATTTTTGATAGCAAAGTCTTTGGAAAACCAAGTAACTTATTTTCTGATCTGATATTAACTGGGAAAAAGCAGGAGAATTTCATTTAGTAGCATTTTAAGTAGATGCTGGATCAACTGTATGTCCCTTCATAAAACTACATTATATTCCTATTCTGGTCACAGATCAAGATAGGAATCTTGCAGCTTCTGTTTCTAAATGAGGAACAGGAATTTTGTTGTAAATTAACCATTGATGCGTCAGATACATACTTGTAAAGGAACTGTCTCATTTGAAAAGTGCAAATAACCATCAACTAAGGCCTGTTTCACATTAGTAAACAGCAAAAAGAGACTTAAAACTGAAGCTCCTTTTGGATTCCCCACAGTGTCTCAGCACTCTTCTTCAATTTATTTTCTTCTTCAGTCTTCAGAGTCATTTTGATCACATCTGTAATGCCTGAAGAGCCCAGAATGCATGGAACACTTAGGAAAACGTCATCTTTAACTCCATGCATACCCTGGAAAAGTAAAATATGGCCATGAAATACCACTAGAAGAAATTAAAAGAAAGCCACATAATTTATAGGGAGAAATATGCTAAAAAGCTTCAAATAGAACATAATTATGTGGGCTATGTTTGGATTAAAAACTCCCTCTGAGGGAGATGAGTGATTAAAAAGCTTGTTACACACACACACACACACACACACACACACACACACACACACACACAAGGCATCTAGGGGGATATTACCGACGCTCTGACTTCCCCAGACCGGTGGGGCTCGCCATCAGTGGGGATCAGCTGGGGAAGTCGGAGCGTGGGTAATATCCCCCTAGATGCCTGGGAGAAGCTCCGCTCAGCAACCAGCTGGTTCCAGCATTCAGCAGCATGCAGCCTTGACTAGATCGGCACAGCTTCCTGTCAATGTTGTCGGCGCTTCCGTAGCGTCATCAGTCAGTGCCAGCAATTCAGATTCATGAAGCTGTGCGGATCTCGACAAGGCTGCATGGGTGAAGGAAAAAAACCTGGTACAAAATAGCCCTCTTGCCACTACACATAGCGTAGCCCATTACCTTTCTCTACAGTACAGCAACAATACATACAGTACAGCAACAGTACATACAGTATAGTATACAAATATAACAGTCAAGACCCCATCATGGCTCCACCAGCAAGAAGAAAGAAATATGAAGCCAGTTTTAAACTTAAAGTTGTAAACTTTGCCATGGAACATAATAACTGTGCTGCTGCAAGACAATATGGAGTAACAGAAAAGATGGTTCGGGACTGGAAAGCAAATGTAAAAGCATTAAAGAGTATGCCAAGGGGTAAGTGTGCATTAAGAAGAGGCACCCCACATTGGCCAGAACTCGAAAAACATGTAGCAGACATGGTGAATGAGCATCGCCAAAACGGTTATGTAGTTACACGAAATAAAATACGTTTGTTTGCACTTCAGTGGGCCAAATCTAACCCAGATCACAGCAACAGATTTAAGGCCACTGTATCCTGGTGTACTAGATTCTTGGAAAGGCATAATTTGGTTCTGAGGCAAAAGACAAAAATTGCACAAAAATTACCTGCAGATCTTGATGCCAAAGTAAATAGTTTCCATCGATATGTAATAAAACAGCGCAAGAAACATGGCTATGCGTTAAGTAGTATCGGAAATATGGATGAAACTCCAATGAATTTTGATATGATTGGAAATAAAACTGTCCATCCAAAAGGTGAAAAAACAATTTTAATTAAAACAACAGGACATGAGAAGTCCAGTTTTACAGTGGTACTAGCATGCACAGCTGATGGCTCCAAACTGAGACCAATGATTATTTTTAAAAGAAAAACAATGCCGAAACTAAAGTTCCCTGTTGGTTGTTTTGTACATGTGAATGAAAAAGGCTGGATGGATGAAGAAGGGGTAAAGCTATGGCTTGATAATATATGGAGCAGGCGACCAGGTGGACTTATTCAAAAACGTAGTCTACTGGTGTGGGATATGTTCAGGGCTCATTTAACTCCCAGCACCAAGCAAAGGCTTGCAAGAATAAACACAGATGCGGCAGTTATTCCTGCAGGATTGACATCGTTGGTACAGCCACTGGATGTGTGCCTAAACAAGCCATTTAAAGATCGCATTCGAGAACAGTGGAATGAGTGGATGGTTAGCGGTGAAAAGTCATTCACAAAAGGAGGAAACATGCGTGCTCCACAGTTGGATGTTTTGTGCAAGTTTGTCATAAAAGCCTGGAATGATATTGATGCAGAAACAGTAATCAAGTCTTTCAAGAAGTGTGGCATATCAAATTCATTAGATGGTATGGAGGACGACTACTTGTGGCAAGATGAAGAGGAAGCCGAAGCTGAGACCACACCATCTGATACGGAATTAGATCCATATGATGACTGCCTTACAAATGTATCACAAGATGTCCTTGATGTACTTATGATATCAGATGACGAACAGGAGGATTTTGAAGGCTTTTAAAGGGAAACTGTCACGCCAGCAAAACCTGTAAAAATAGCTTGCAGTTATGATGGGCGTTACTGACTCGCCAGGGACTTGCCCGGCACTGGCTCTCTATTGTTTGTTATCTTCCTCCTATCATCATCAGTTCCAGTTTGGTTGACAGCTTAGAAAACAAACAGCATGGCAGCTCCCATGGGTTTATTGTCTTATCCTTCCTTTCAGCTTTAGAGTGAATTAGGAAAAGTTTAATCCAATTGCACTGTTTTATGTTGACATGTTTGATGACAAACAGCCTTATGTTTATAAGTGACAGTTTTCCTGCTAAGTACCTGCGTGTCATAAGCATTTGAATTAAAATTACCATATTGAAATCAAATCTGATGTTTTTTAATTTTTATTTGGTGTGCGTTGGAAGAGGGGTAGTCTTATACGGCGAGTATAGCCCAAACCCTATATTTTAACAGGAAAAGTAGGGGGTCGTCTTATACGCCCAGTCGTCTTATACGCCGGAAAATACGGTACCAGAAAATATTTCTCAATCAATTCTAAAAAAGAACCAAAGCTTTTTCTTTACCTTGTTTCAAGCAAATATGGAATTACCGTAGTGTGGTCAAAGCTTCATCGAGTTCCTTTCTGCTGAAACCAGGAAAGACTAAGCTTATTTACTATAGTACTTAATTTTAAATGGGCTTATACCTTTTCCTGAAGCTTCCTGCTGATAACTGTATAATCTAATTCTTGTTTAATGCTTCAACCAGATGAAACTGTATGGGGGAGGCGGCAGCATGGCTCTGCAGACTTCTTGGAGCATTTGATACCCATCAGCCATGGCTTCATTTGGACAACTTCATAGACCATTTTAAGTGTTTTATTACCGTATTTTTCAGACTATAAGACGCACTGGTATATAAGAGGTAAGCAAGAAAAAAATGTTTTTTTGCCCTCCCCGGTTCCCAGGAGCACTCTGTAGGCCTCCCAAACCCTCTTTTTCGCAAAAACGGGGGCTGGGGAGGGCAAAAATGCAATTGGGGGGGGTTTGGGAGGCCAAAAATGGACCCTTTTTCGCAAAAACTGTTTCTGCCCTCCCCAGCCCCCAGGAGCATTCTGCAGGCCTCCCAAAGCCTCTGCACACCCTGTTTTTGCAAAAGAACAGGCCCATTTTTTGCAAAAACAAGACACGTGGGGTGGTGCTTCAGGCGGCCAAAAATGTCTGTATTCGGTGTATAAGACGCACCAACATTTCCACCCTCTTTTAGGTGGGGGGAAAGATGCGTCTTATACTCCGAAAAGTATGGTAATTAAAAAATGCCACCTATCTTGCAACAAGGCAACTGCTTTTGTAATAGAATTTCCAATTAAGCCATATCCAGAATGTGACACCAGATTATTTTTGGTCACCTATGCTGTTGAGCAAGAGGAATTCTTCTCGTCTTCCACTGTTCAACACATTCATGAAACTGCTCCAGATCATCAACATATTCCTTGATTTTCAATTGTGGCATGGTAGTTACTCAGCCCTTCTAGAGTAGGAAACTGTTATGCCATGGGTAGACCCCATATTGACCATCATAATGTGCTTTATCTTCATAACTGTGGCTTGTATCCAATCCCAGCATTAAAAGAAAATGCATGAGTTGAAACTTTCTTACAGGACATAATTAACGTTTTGATGTTACTTCTGAAGCCCTAAACATCTTAGGGTCTTTCCCATTACAAATGCATCTGACTGCAAGTTCTGCAAGAAGGTCCTTACTGAAGATCCTAGGCTGTCTCAAGAGAACCATCTTTTTGGCATGTAGGAAACGGCCTTTTTAGGTAATGCTCCTCAGCAATGGATACATCCAGTCCACACTCTTGGCATTCAGAAAGGTTCATCCACTTTATCAAATTTTCATTTTAACTGAAACTAATTTTTGGCATTCATTTTAGTTCATTTTTTAAAATGATGTTAGATGTCTTGAGCACTTGCCAGAATCGTGGGTGTTTATGAAATGAACGAAGGCAGACAAAAGTAATTGATGTTTATTTTGCTCTTTTGGGCTGGTACTAAAGCTAGACAATTGCATCAATTCGAAATGTTGCATACACAGTTCCCACAGGAGAGTACAGTGAGTTCTCTTGAAAAAATATACACAAAGACCTGAAGCAGTGATGTCAGGAAAAATACATTGCTAAGTAGTGGAAATTTAAGTCACCTGTCAGCAGAAAATATTGGTCAGTGAATTTGCCAATCATTTTTGATAGCAAAGTCTTTGGAAAACCAAGTAACTTATTTTCTGATCTGATATTAACTGGGAAAAAGCAGGAGAATTTCATTTAGTAGCGTTTTAAGTAGATGCTGGATCAACTGTATGTCCCTTCATAAAACTACATTATATTCCTATTCTGGTCACAGATCAAGATAGGAATCTTGCAGCTTCTGTTTCTAAATGAGGAACAGGAATTTTGTTGTAAATTAACCATTGATGCGTCAGATACATACTTGTAAAGGAACTGTCTCATTTGAAAAGTGCAAATAACCATCAACTAAGGCCTGTTTCACATTAGTAAACGGCAAAAAGAGACTTAAAACTGAAGCTCCTTTTGGATTCCCCACAGTGTCTCAGCACTCTTCTTCAATTTATTTTCTTCTTCAGTCTTCAGAGTCATTTTGATCACATCTGTAATGCCTGAAGAACCCAGAATGCATGGAACACTTAGGAAAACGTCATCTTTAACTCCATGCATACCCTGGAAAAGTAAAATATGGCCATGAAATACCACTAGAAGAAATTAAAAGAAAGCCACATAATTTATAGGGAGAAATATGCTAAAAAGCTTCAAATAGAACATAATTATGTGGGCTATGTTTGGATTAAAAACTCCCTCTGAGGGAGATCACACACACACACACACACACACACACACACACACACACACACACACCATTGGTACTTATTTGCTTGAATAAAATAAAAATGGAAGGGCACATGTTTTAAGATCACCAACATACCCAGGAGAAGACAGCAAAAACAATCAAGATGGCAGCTGCAACAGTGGTCAAGCCCAGCCCATTTGCATATGTATCAATTTGTACAAAGGAGTGATTGCACTCCTGCAGCTGCTGTGTTGCCCATTTTGAAATCCATACTGTCAGCAACTGGGTTTGCAGTTACAGCTGCAAAGAGGGCTACCGAGTATCCCAGAAGCAAACTTGCCCTTTTTGCTTTATTGCCTCCTTAGGCTTTGTAAACACAGCCTTCCCAGATCCCTAGAGCTGCCCTTTCAGAATTGGGTTTTGCGGTATAAAAAAAATAGCCCAGACTTTGCCTTATTCGTCCAGATCAGACAAAGAAACAGAATGCCAAGAATCACCCTCTGGATTTGCCAGAACCCTAGGAGAACCATGGTTTCAGAATGGAAAGGGACCCCCTCCCTCTTCTGAAGGCTTGGTTAACCGCCTTCCTGAAAACCACAATCATGTGACTGAAATGTATCCAAGCCTTCCTCTTCTAACCCTGATCTACCCGCTTTCCCTATTTTTCTGCCCCTCCACAATCTACCATGATTAAACATGAGCTATCTTTTAGTCCCTCTTTTCTCTTTCTGAAATCCCAAAGCAAGCACAGGACCCCCTCTCCCTCTATATATTCAACACACATATATTGCAAGACCAAAAAAGGGGGGGCTTCTATTACTCTCTTCCCAAAAACCTGCATGCTACCCATTCTTACTCCTAAGGATTGTTTGCTGCTGTTTTTTATCCCCCAGTACTGCTTACATGTTTTCCCCACTGAATATTATTTCTACAGTGATAGCTACTTTGTCTTCCATGACTGTTCTTTTCCCCATTAAGTGCTTCATTAATGTTTTCTCCCTTCAGATTGCTATTCCCTCACCTCTTTATTATTGCAAAGGATATTTTTCTGCTGCATGGGTGTCTTTCATTGCCCTTTCTCTGCCTTCACTGGGCTGTTTCTTAACAAAATCCAGTCCCTTTCTGAGGTATGCAGGAATGGTATTTTTGAGGCCCATATTCACTCTGGCATGTGTAGAATATTTCAGATATTTAATTTAGTCTTGCTTGCATTCCAATTCCTGCTGGATCCAGGATGTTGGAACTGAATCATGACTAAATACGCAAATTAAAAAACCATAATGACTTAATGAGTAGTTGATTACCTTCACCATTGTAGAAATTGGATGTACTCTCCTTAAATTCTTCATGATGGTTTCAGCCAGATCAGCCACAGACAGACCAATTGCCCATGATGTGTATCCCTTCAGCTTGATCACCTCATAAGCACTGCAATGGATTACAACATTAAGATTGGTCTCCAAAACTATGACAGCACTTATGATATTGTTAGGAAATGATCTAAAACACAACAAACTAGTTTGCAAATTAAACCAATGGTTTCAGATTGTTTAGTTCTGAAATATACATACTTTAGAAATATATCCAGAAATATATAAAAAGACAGTACATGCCAATAAATTCCAATATACCTTAATTTTTGGGTTTCAGAATACTTGTGGAACTACCTAAGTTGGTGATTACCGTATTTTTTGCACTATAAGATGCACCGGACCATAAGACGGACATTAGCTTTAGAGGAGGAAAACAAGAAAAAAATATCTGCCAGCATCCATCTGGTATTCATCCTTGCAGCAAACAGCCTGGTCAGCTTCGGCACGTGGCTCATCAGGGCTCCACTCTGCTGCGCCCATCATCAGTCAACTGAGCTGAGCTGCTGCCGCCGCTGTGGAATACTGAAGCCTTCACTGCCAAGCATCTGATTGGTGGTTGGATTGGCCTCCCGGAATACTGCCGATCAGTTGTTCTAGGCAGTGGCGAACAGCGGCAGCAGTGATAGGCAGCGGCAGCAAATGCCGCCGCCATACCAACCCCTCTCTCTCCTGCCACAATATTCGCTCTATAAGATGCACAGACATTTCCACCCACTTTTGGGGGGGGGGGGAGAAAAGTGTGTCTTATAGTGCGAAAATATGGTATATTTTATCACAATATTAATGCATTGTATGTGTTTTATATTATTCTTAGCCACATAAATTTGAAGTGTTACCTGTCCACCACCTGCTTGTGGACTTCTTTCCAGTTCTCCTTGTCTGCATCAGTACCCATTTCAGGATGCAATTCTTTTAGGGAGACACCAGCAACGTTCACACCACTCCAGACAGGCACTAAATAAAAATTTTCCAGGTTATTCATGCCTTCAAAACACAAGCTCATTATACTTACAAAATTATATACAGGTTAGTGTAAAAAAAAATACCACTTTAATTCTCCACACATGAGCCTCAGGAAAGCTCAGAAACAAGTGAAAATTGATGAGCTGGTTCCAAATATGGCCCTCATTTTAGTAAGCAATGAAGCTCCATTTACTGTAAAGGAACAGTTTGAGCCTTTGACCTGGTTAGAAAGAGATACTGGATTAGCTCCAGATAATCAGGACCCAAACCTACCCTCATTTTTGAATGAACAACTTTGGCAGTAAAAGAAGTGAGTAAATCTTTAACAGCAGCTCCTTTTCATACAGATTTGCTGATCAATCCGTGCCTCTTTATTGTGGACCTTGGATCTTTTTTCGAACAGAACTGGAATTAATGTGAAGCTCCTCCAACTTTTATACCCTTTGCACAACACTCATTCTCTTGAGATGGTCAAGTACCCTCATTTTCTTTGTAAATTCTGTATCCGTGTCCCTCAACCTTATCCTTACCTTCAGAACACAAGTTCCTTGTATAATTAATAAGTGACTAGCCTGATGGAATGAGATAAATCCCTGAGGTTCATCCTCCTCAGAATCAGATTAATCAATTTAATCCTTTTAATGAAGCCCAAACATACTGACATAACTGATTTTCTTATTAAGTCATGGCAATTATATACAAAATGGCTTGGATGTGGGTAAGCAAGCTCTGAATAGTCCTCTCTGCTTCTACAGCTAGAATTTGGCTTGGACACCATGTACTGTGTATAATTTATTCTGCAGGGCTTGTGGAACAGCAAACACTGCTCCTTTCAGGTACAGGAAAACTAGGAACAGATTTAAAACGTTGGATATATTTTATTAAGATATTATATTAAGAAGAGATTTTTTAACCATTTGTCTGAAGTGGTGTAGGGTTTCCTGCCTAAGCAGGGGGTTGGATTAGAAGATCTCTAAAGTTCCTTCCAACTCTGTTATTGTATTTCTGATCTTTTATTTTTGCTTAGTTTCACTACATAAGAGTTTACTGGATGAAGCAGAATTTTGTAGCAATTTTATCTTGATACCAAAATGAAAAGGAGCCCAAGCAATTAATGCAAATTTATGAGATCTGACTAACATTTTCCTGATAATTTTATTGGAATGGAGGACTGACTTGCTAAAATGGACTAGGAGAAGTGAAAAGGATCCAAAACTGTATTCCAAAGCAAGAATGATTAACAAGTATTTCTTTTATTATGTACTTAATTTTTGTTTAGAGTAGCTAGCCAAGTATTTTGTAATACATGGTATAGTGGTAGGTAGGTATTGTATCACAAAGTGCAAAGTAAAGCAAACCTTCCTGCGTACAGGATTACACAACTGCATGAAGAATAAACTATCAATGCTTAATGTAACACCACATTATTGAGAATAGATATCCCTGGGCACTTGTAAGAAACCTCAAATCTCATCAAATGGTCTATTGGATTCAAGTATGAAAATCCCTTGTCTACAATGAAGATAAGGACATTCTACAAGGAGTAACTCCCTCGTCCTCCTGATGCAAGACTAGAAAGTTCTGACTTCTCTTTCAGTGAAGGACCTCCCTTCCTAGTTTTGGAATGGCCAACTAGAAAAAGAGCTCAAAGGAAGAGGAAAACATGAAACACACAGGAACAAAGAAGAGACATGACACCTTAATGGTAATAACAAGGCATTCTATAATAAAACGTACTAGAGCTGTGTCTTGGCATGGAATCCTAGGTCCTTGCCCTGAACTACTTTTTGCAGTATTGTTCTGCCAAAGGTGACGTCAACCAAAGCACAAGAGCTAAGCTTTCAATGCTTTATTAAGGAAGATACAAAACGTCTAGTGGAATGGGCCATTATTTTTCACAAGGCAGAGTTGTTCTGACCATTGTACCCATTTACATATATATCTTGATCCACCAGGACATCATGGCCAAAACACCCTGTAGACCAGGTGGGGTTTTGGGAATAGCACTAGATCTGAATTCCTGTTTTGCCCAGATAAATCTCAACAACTCGCCTATTGTACAGTTTTACTGTAATAACTTGGTTTGGGGACTGGGGCAAAGGGGAGTATTTCTTCCTGGCTCTACTGAAAGATCAAGTTCACCTTATTCATGAACTTTGGATCTCAGTAGAGAGTGGATGATGCAGAAATCCTTCTTGTAGAGAATGCCTGATTGCTGAGATTTGGGCCCCAAGTTATGACAATTTATAAATACCACCTCCCATGCCAGGTGCTCCATGGTTGAGTCATGGAAGGGTTTAAATAAGGCTTGGTCTATATAGATTTATTGTCCTCAGCTGATGAAACAGTCCTACTCAATCTCCAAGCATGTCCTTCGCAACCAAAGTGGTTCAATCTCCCTTGACTCAATATGTCTGATGATGCTAAAAAACTCCCCAGTTAGGATGTTAAGTAGGTAAACAGGTGTAAAAACCTATGTCTCCTGGGCCAATTGAGAGCTATCACTCGCAGCTCCATTGTCTTGCACTAATCCCAGAAACCAGAGGTGAAATGTTCCCGGTTTAGACCGGATGGCCTGATCCGGTAGCAATGGAGGCAGGTGGTTCGGAGAACCAGTAGCAAAAATCCCTGCCCCCCCCCATTGCCCAGCTGAGCCGCGCAATCATCAGAGGCTTTTTTTTAATTTTTAAAAGCATTTTTTCTATAACCTCTTTGGCAGAAAAAATGCTTTTAAAAGTAAAAAAAAAAAAAAAAAGCCTCTGATGATCGCGCGGCTCAGCTGGGATCATCAGAGGCTTTTAAAAGCATTTTTTCTACATGTTAAAATGTTTTTAAAAGGAAAAAAAGCCTCTGCCGATCAGGCAAGTCAGCTGGGATCGTCAGAGGCTTTTTTTTTAAAAAAGAAAGCTTCTGTTGATCAGGCAAGTTAGCTGGGATCGTCAGAGGCTTTAAAAGCATTTTTTTTACAACCTCTTCAGCCGAAGTCGTTGTAGAAAAAATGGTTTTAAAAGTAAAAAAAAAAAAGTTGGCCACGCCCACTCAGTCATATTAACCCCCCCACCAAGCCACGCCCACAGAACCGGTAGTAACAAATTTTACATTTCACCACTGCCAGAAACCTAGGGGATTACTGGGAATGGTAGGGATGGAAATATACAATGGGTCTTCAGGCCAGATGGTATCCAGAATCTTGTTTCCACTCTAGTAAATTGAAACAAATATATCTATGGACAACAAATTTCTATCTGCATGCTTGGCAGCTATATTGGGAGGTCTACTGAGTTTATAGGAGGTATGTAAAGAAAAAAGAAAGGAAAAATCAAGTGCTAAGAAAAAAAAAAGAAAGGAAAACAGTAAGGTGCTGTAGATCTGCCAAAGTTGAAGGAATTCTTGACCGACTAGTGTGCCCTGTGAAGCAATACAATGATGGAACTGGGAAGTTGATATATCTTTCCAGCTATTCTAAGAGGCGGGTTTCAAATGGGCATTGGTCTTACCTTAAATGCCAGATTTCTTGAGTGGGGTGACATTGTCCAGATGAGGGTTGTATCAGTTGGATCTGATGCTGGCTGAGTCATAATTTTTGACCACTCCCCTTGCTCCGCCCCTTTCATGCTCAGTTTTGACGAAGGAAGGCCACCAGAAGTATCTCCAACAGGAACCACCGTTATCAGGAGGAAGTAAATCGGTCCAACGGGACAACTGGAAAAAAACTACTGAACAAGAACAATAAACTGTACAGGCACTGAGACAGAGGGAGGGGCTGGACAATGTCACCCCACTCAAGAAATCTGGCATTTAAGGTAAGACCAATGCCCAATTTCCTTGATGAGGGTGTGACATTGTCCAGATGAGGGACATACCAAAGATTTGGCTGTCTCAAGGGCGGGATGTCGAAGGGCCTGGAGAGACCCTCGCACGATGCACCTGCTGCAAAACCCTCCTGCCAAATGACGCTTCAGCAGAAGCAAAGGTATCTATCTTGTAATGACGAATAAATGGCGAGGGGGTAGACCAGGTGGCTGCCCTACATACCTCCTCAAGGGAGGCCTGAGTCGCCCAAGCTGCTGAGGTAGCAGCACTCCTAGTGGAGTGGGCAGTAATGCTATTGGGAACAGGAATCGCCTGGGCCTGATATGCCGAGGCGATGCAAGCCCTGATCCATCTACCAATTGTGGCAGAAGAGACTTTGAGCCCTAGGGAGCCTGGCAAAAAGGAAACAAACAAAGCCTCTGACTTCCTGAAGGGAGCAGTCCTTTTGATATAAATCTTTAGGGCCCTCCGTACATCTAAGGTATGCCACCTTCGTTCCAAGGCATGAGAGGGCCGGGGACAGAAATTGGGCAAAATAACCTCTTGGGCCCTGTGAAAGGGGGAATTAACATTGGGAATAAAGGAAGGGTCCAATCTCAAAATAACTGTGTCCGGCCGGAAAACACAGAGATCCTCCCTAACTGAGAGGGCTGCCAGCTCCGAAATGCGACGGGCTGAAGTTATGGCTATAAGGAAAACCACCTTAAGGGTGAGAAAGCGAAGGTGAACCGTGCGGAGGGGTTCAAAGGGAGTCTCAGTTAAAGCGTTAAGGACCTTGGGCAAATCCCAAGTAGGGTATCTATGAATCGAGGAGGGCCGCAAGAGCCTGGCTCCTCGCAGGAACTTTTTTATCACAGGGTGCTGAGTGAGTGGTCGGCCGGATGGACTGGACAAGGCCGTAGACAGAGCCGCCACATGTCTCCGAAGGGTACTATGGGCCAGACCACGGTCAAACCCATCTCTGAGGAACTCCAAGATCTGGGCAGGTGAGGCTGAAACAGGATCTATCTGCCGGGAACGGCACCACCTATAAAAGGCGAGCCAGGAGATATTGTAGAGTCTGACTGTGGATTTACGTCTGCAGGCTTGAACAATGTGAATCACCCTATCTGAATAATTGTCCTGCCTTAGACGGGCCCCTTCAAGCGCCATGCAGTCAGTTGGAGCCACTGAGGGTC